ACCTCCAAAATAAAGCGCTATACGGTATCAGGATAATTAATGTTCAATGTCACTTTAGTTCCAATCAACAGTACATCACTTGTGCTTAAGCCTACAAAACCCTATTATGAAGTTGGTAGTGATGTCACTCTCTCTTGTAAAGTTACTGAGCCTAACTCACCACTGGTTGATATCAATACTACTGCTAATATTAAATGGAATTCTAATAAAAATATTTACCAGCAATATTCTTTTCACCGCTACAATAGCTATTTCAATCATACTCTCACAAATATAAAGCTATCTGATGCTGGAGAATACAATTGTACATATTATCTCACTGGTACTACTGATAATCCTTATATTATACCAAGTGATGTCAGGACAGGAGTCACTAATGTAACAATTGAAAGTGAGTTTGTTTATTTTTTATTATTACCATTATCATGTATTTTATTGATAGTTCCTAATGGTAACAATCCATCAATTACTCAGTTAAATTCTTATTATAATGTTGGTGACAGCATTAGCTTCATTTGCTCTGTCACTTATCCACACTCTCCTCTTATTGATATTGCTACTAATGTGAACATACAATGGCTCGATTCCTCTAATCACACACTACACTCATATACTGGTATCAATAATAATACTGAACACACTATCAGCTACACTATTGATGGTAATAATACTGTTATAAGCAATACAGCATATCTTTGTATTAAAGGTTAGTTTATACAATAAGAATGAAAATTTAATAAATAATTTTATTTAGTTCCTGTCATGGATAGCACTTTGGATGCTAATCTAAGACTAGGAGACATCAGAGAGTATGATTGTACATTAGGTTATAGATACTCAGGAGTAACTGTGCAATGGTTAGAATATGGATCTAATAAAGTATTGAATAATCCTCTCATATTAACAATGAATCAATCGGTCAACAATGCATATTATATGTGCCTAGTCACAGTAGATAAAAATCCGAAAAACTGTCCTTCTTAAAAAGCAAACTTGATCATTAAAATAAAAGGTATGTACATTAGTTTTAGATTATAATTTGGTTCATCATCTGGTCACTATACACATTGTGAATGTTCCTTCTAGTAACAAGCAGAAGTAGCAGGAATTACAGAAATACTAGACTATTATGT